TCTTTCCCTGTATCCGAAACCTCTTGCACATTTATATTGAACTCGTTCATTTGCCTTATAAATTTCCTTCCGAGATACAGGATATCCATTTAAAATGGTTGGTTGTTTGCAGGAAATTTCTAAACAAAAGGGATTAAATTCCAACAGGTTTGTTATATATTAAAGGACTGTGTCCCAAACATAGTTATATAAAGATACAACTCTTGTTTCCATTAGGTAAATCAGACAACTAAACAAAAGTCCTGTTTTGACTTGAATGCTTGGTGAATAATTTATCGGTTGTTCTTAACATTCATTTTTGAAGTAAGTAAAAATTCTGATTTAAATCATGTTGCTAATTTATTTAGTTTGGGGATAAATTAGTCCTCTTGAAATAAATAGTGGCCAGTAATATTCATCAACTGTATATATAAAATTGAATACAGAAGTAGGTTTAGGGCTTCCCTGGTGGCGCAGTGGTTGAGAGTCCGCCTGCCGATGCAGGGGACACGGGTTCGTGCCCCGGTCTGGGAAGATCCCACGTGCCGCGGAGTGGCTGGGCCCGTGAGCCATGGCCGCTTAGCCTGCGCGTCCGGAGCCTGTGCTCCGCAATGGGAGAGACCACAGCAGTGAGAGGCCCGTGTACCGCAAAAAAAAAAAAAGGAGAAATAGGTTTAATGTGATATGTATTTTCACTGAGTGACCTAAAAATATTACATATTTTTTTAGTTATTGATAATAGAGTAATTATTGACAAAACACTTTGTCAAAGAAATTAATATATCTCATTGTTATTACATCTCCAGAAAGCAACTGACCTGCTTGTGTGGTTTTGCTATCCATCCAAGTTTTCCGTCCAGAAAAAAAAAATAAAGAGCTGGCCATCATCTTTCACACTGTCACTCCAAAATTTTTCTCTGGGACTGCAGCAACAGTGACTAATTTCCCAGATCTTATTCTCCCTTCATCTTAATCTTTTTTTCCTGTTCGTAACTTAATGATCTTTTCTTCTTGTCACTTTATTGTTCCATTTAAAATGCTTCATTGATTCCCAATTCAGTCTGTATAAAAGCCTAATTCTTCAGCATGGTGTATGTAGCCCCGCAGAACCTTGGACTGCCAATCTTCACTCCATCACTAACTTCTTCCCTGCCTGCATCCTAAGTTAAGGCCCCTGAGAACAGTGGGAATAGGGGAGCTTCATGCTCAAAGAGGCCTCAAGGCCGTTGTCCCTTCCTCTCCACTAACTTCTGACTGGTTTGCTTTTGCCCTCCTCAACTTCATCTGAAAGATTCTCATTCTTCCTTTAAGACTTATCTTCTGCATCAGTCATTCCAGAAAGGTTTAACTAACCACAGAAATTTAGTTGCAAGAAATAAGCCCCATCCATGAACCTCTAGAGTATACAGTAATTGCTACACTGAATATAAATATGTTTGCCATTATTAACTCAAAGAACCAGCTTTGTAAAAAAGACTTCCTAGGAAGAGGGAGGCTTCTCTCTTCATCTCACTGTAGGACAGACGAGACTAAGAAAGTGTAAATAATTTGGGGATTTTAGATAATGTTAAAAAACAAATATGGCAGAAATTTCTGCCAAAGAAATACTGGTCAAACGAAGTATGGTACTTTTAAACAAATTGACCAAATTATATTATTACAAAAGCCAGAATCATCATATTGGTCATCAGGCACAGGTCAATAGTATTAAAACTAAAGAAATGCTAACTTCTAGCTAACTATGGAACTTTTTTTTTAAGACAAAGATTTATTTAGTGGATTCAATTCAGTTCAGCAATATTTATACTAACCTCCCAGTGCAAGTATAAAACAGGGGCACTTCCTAGAAGCGTTATTCAAAAACACAATGTTATCATGACACATCAATAGAAATAAATAATGATAGTTTTTCAAATTAAAAAATGACCTATTCTGGAGTTTTAATATTAAACTTGTAGCAGAAATGCTTCAGATATTATGTTAATCATAAGAGTCAATTACAATTTAATTATACTTAAGAGCATGGACTTTAGTGTCAGATAACCTACATTTAAATCTTACCTCTACCATATATGCCATGATAATTTTGTACATGTGATTTAATTTCTTTGCACCATAATTTCCTCAATTATAAAATAGCGGTGAAAACAGTACATAAATCACATAGTCATTTAGAAGGTAAAATAGATGACACGTGTAAAGAACTTAGATCACTTACTGGGAAACAGTAAGTGCTGAATAAATGCTAGTGAGTTAGCATTTTTCAGATTCTGTAGGATGCACAGCGTTTTGAAAGGCATATTTTCATGAAAAAAAACTAAACTCATTCAAATAATCAAACAGTAAGTGTATCTTACCTACACATTTTGGTTTTTCTTCACTCCAAACACCATCTGCTGAGCAATGTATTTGTTTAGGTCCGTCAAGTATGTAGCCTGAATTACATTCAAACTGTATTGCTTGTCCAAAAGTATATATTTGGTCTGGTTCCAGGGCACCACTGAAAATTTTCCCATTCTCTGGTTCTGTTACTGGTAAACACTTAACAACTGAAAAAATAAATATAAAATTTTCTAATAGAATTGGAAAATTTTATTATGAAAAATAAGTATATAGAAATATAACATATATATAACCAATAGCAAGATTGGAGAAAATTAAATTTTTTAAAGATGTATTTGATATACCTGTTAGCCAGAAATAAATTCTACTAAGTAAAAAACCCAAAAAATACAAACAAAAGAAAACTGTAAGTTTATCTCTGATTCTTTTCTATGAGAGTGAACAAAGAAAATTACTACTTTGAATTTTTGAATAACAATTTATATATTTTGTAGTAGCAAACAAGTGTTTCTTAAATAATTGAGAAATATAAAGTTTGGGATAATTAAATACAAAATTTCTATTTAAGTCCCACAATAATATAAAACTGTATCCCTAAAAGGTGTAAAAGCAAACTTTCTGATTATGTTTATTTCAATAAATAGTCTTTAATTTTCCTTTTTCCATTTCAAAATAACTTGAGCACTTTTTTGATTTTCCTTAATATTTTCCAGTATCCCTTAGCTTATGATATTCAATCTTTATTTTACAATGATCACCCAGGATGCTTGTTAAATGGAAATTCTATGGCTGCCCTATCACCCCAGGGATACTGATTCCATACATCTTTACTAACCAAAAACTTCAGTTTCTAAGAAAGCACCCCAGGTGATTCCAATGTGGATGTTCCTTAGAACATTGATGTCCTTCCCCTCATTTCCGCAGATGAAAGATCCACTCTGTTTTTCAGACAACGGGATTTTTGAGTCATCATGTTTTTTCTCCTCCCCTTCTCCCTCTTCCGCTTCCTCCTTGTTTTTCTCTCTCTTTCTCTGTCTCCCTTTCCTTCTCTCTTCTCCCTCTCTCCTTACTCCTCACCATGGAACTTGGAAAAACAATTCTGACTGATCTCTTATTTTCATGATGACTAGAGACTGGAATTACTAGTTCAAAATTTGGGAACAGGATGTACATTTTTTCATTCTCATTGTTTGCTTTACGGATCAGTAAGAAAGGACAGAGGTCTTCCTTAGTTCCTGCCTCTTTTCAGTACAACTAAGACCAGAGGAAAACTCCCCTTGCCAGGCAAGAGGGAGGAGGTGGCTAAATCATGTTCTCCACCTCAGCCGCTACCAGAGATCCCTGCACTGGGGTCGTTATTTGGCGGAGTGCCTATTCATGAATAAAGTCGAAATTCTCAGCTTCATTTTGATGTGATACTTGTGTTATTTCTAGTGGTTAGAATCCAAAAGGAAAAAAAAAAAAGATTTTTCTAATCTGTAATACATTAACTATTAGATCAGATGAGCCTGTATTTATATTTCGTTATTGAAACACATAATACCGCAGCAATAAAAGGACTAGATATCCACTCTGTACTACAGTAGAATCCACAAAAATAATTTGAGTAAGAAATATTTAATTATAGACTTTATTAATATTTGATGTAAGACATTTCAAAAAATCCTAATATTTTAAGTATATGTTTTAATATACTTGTAAATCAGTTTTACATCTACCTTCACATATGGGAATATTATTGGTCCATCCATTTGATTCACATTCACGGAAATTCACCTCACCCAGCATCTGATACCTGAAAACCAACAATAACAGAGTTGTGAGCTAATGCGTGTTTATGCCCAGTTTTAAGTCTGATACCATTTCAAATGTCCAGAAACTCCATTTCATGGAAAATTAACAGCATATATTTCCCTCCTTCCTTTCTTAAGAAAGGCCCTCAAACCCTCAGGTGTATGGACTTGGAATAATCATAACCCTTGGTTCATGACACAAACTCATTACTGTTTCATGCACAATGCACTTTTATTCCTTCATTAATTTATTTTTTCACTAATGAGGTACATTTAACAATGTAATAAGATCCACGAACAATCACCAAAAACAGAAGATAAAAACATGATAGTAAACAACAGGTCACTGTATGTCACCCCCGTCCACTCTTTTTCCATATTTCTATCCATACTCCTACCCTCCATGATTGTGATATTTTCTGGATGCTTTGGGCTTTTTACATGATCAAGGATAGTGCTAACAAAAATGTCTTAGTGTGGCTTATTTTCAGCACTGGTCTCCATCTCCCTATCTCCATCCCCGAGATCCGAGATGCTTTCCAGAGGGCAGTCACTGAGTCAAGTTGGCTTATAGAAGTCATTCAATGTCGAATTATAGTAACTCATCAAGTCTGATCTTAAAGCCAAAGATGCTGTACTTTAACTCAAGGTCCTTGGGCAGGTGTACAGTGTGCAGTCATCCCCAGATGCTTCAGATGAAGGCAAAGCATCCTTCTCAATATTTATTACATTGGACGGTTGGAGGCAAAAAACAAAACAAACAAACAAAACCTTTTTCTCAAGAAATAAATAATGGAAGGCATTTTGATAACCACAAAAGAGAGAATTTTGAAAAATGGTCTTTCATGAACTTCTAAAGAATTCTACGTGGAAAAATGTTTCCTTTGTCTGCAAATAAGAGTTGTTCTGCAAATTACACAAGTAAAAGAAATTTTCTCCTTCAAAAAACACTGTGTCTTTCTTGGATTGGGATTGATTTGTTCCTAATTCTCTACAGGAAAAAAACGCTTCAACAGAGTAAATGGGAGTCACAGAACTTGAAGTCAAACTTTTACTCTGTGCCTCTGTCACACGAAGGAACAAAATAATTGGTTATTAAAGGTTCTTCTCTGGTTCCTCTCTTGGCTCTACCTTATAACAGAGAAAGAAGATTTCCTGGTGAATATTTTCCATCTATACCAGGGACTCATCCACTCGCCCAAATCTCTCTCAGGAGTTCTGCAAAATTCTACACAAAACCGCCTAGCGTCACCAGCAAAGCCCATTCACAATTCCTGGGGAATAAAACTAGAATCTGGGGAATAAATCTAACTTTCCCCTCTCCCCCACCCCCGCTGTGCTTAGTCTAGTTTCACTGGCTCACAGGGTCGCACATGCAGAGGAATTGCACCTGGCTCTTCAAACTGGAGTTCCTCGTTCAAAATGGCTGCCCCTAAACTTCAGCTTAGGGCCATGTGCAGACCCTGCACACGACACTCCATCCAAGATGGCGGCATCAGAGCGTGTGCAGAGATGCTGCACGCAGCACTGTGGTCTGAATCCTGAGCAGAGCAGCTGCCCTGCCCCCTCCCAGCTGACAAGACCCTATAAAGCAGCCCTGCTCACTTGCAACCTGTTGGGAGAATGAAGCGCTCCTGTGCTATACAGTAGGTCCTGATTAATTATCTATTTTATATATAGTAGTGTGCATATGTCAATCCCAATCTCCCAATTTATCCCTCCCCACTCCCCTTCCCCCCCCCAGTAACCATAAGATTGTTTTCTACATCTGTGACTCTATTTCTGTTTTGTAAATAGGTTCATTGATACCCTTTTTTAAGATTCCATATAAAAACAATATCATATGATATTTTTCCTTCTCTGTCTTACTTCACTCAGTATGACAATCTGATGCGAATAGAATCTAAAAAAGGGGATATACGTATATGTATAACTGATTCACTTTGCTGTACAGCAGAAACTAACACAACATTGTAAATCAACTATACTCCAATAAAAAATAACTTTTTAAAAAATGAAGGTTTCCTTTGCTTCTGAACCCAACTCGGTCTCATTCTATTGGCTGAAAGAACACCGGGCAGAAAGACCCTTGTTAAGACGACTCGAAAAGGTCAGTAATGCTAGGGCCCATGTACATCGAGGGAGAGAGAAAGAGAGAGAGATTGTCCAAATGTTGGTTTGGAGAAAAGTAAGGGCTTGTGTTTCTGCAACCCCAAGCTGGCAAAATACCAGAAACACTGTGCAGAGGGCCTCTTATAAGACTCCCTCCCTGTAGGAGGATCAAACTGGTCTTCCATATTGAGTATTCTGGTAAGTGGCTAGTATTCAGCTAAATGGGTGCACAGCAGACAAAAGGGGAATGGGACAAGGGGACACACAGGGTGGGTTGGCTGGCAGAAACCGTGGGTACAGTAAACCCACTCTACCTTCAGATTCCACTATTGGGTCAGAAGACTTATATCCCCTCTGATGCTGACCTTACAACAGTCCAAGGACTTTTATTTCACTGACAAATATCTAGTCCTGTTGAAAGCCCAAGCTGGGTGGTGGAGACAGTTGCTCTGACAGCGTCTATGACAGTTTACCCATAGTTAATACAAGACGAACGTGGCAAAGATAAGTTAAACAGAGCCAGAGTCAAAGCATGTATGTCGCTAACCTCTTTACCAAATTATAAATATTATTTATTACTGAGATTCAGGGAATCTAGTAGGAGAAGTTTATGAGTTTTGACCCCTTTTGCTAGGTCAAGGGTGGAACTTAAAGGGACAAGACTAGCCTGGATTGGAAAAGGATATTTCAGAGATTGGGGCAAAAACTCTTTGAAAAATCTCCCTCTGGTAGTGACCAAGGAGAGACTAAGTTATAAGAACTGATACTTATTGGGTGTTTACAATATCCCAGGAACTCTTCTAAGGGCCACAAGTGTGTGTTGTATTTATTTCTCCCACCAATCCTGTGATGCACTTGATATGTTTCTGCTTTTATAAGTGAGGACATGGGAGTAAAGAGATATTTTTAAAATATACATATAGTTATTAAGTGGTAGAGTTTTGGAATATAGGCTTACTCCAAAGCCTAAGCTTTAAAATATTTTATTTTACTGCCTCAATTCAAGAAATAAATGGAAAGAGAATAATGATTCCATGTGTAATTTCTTGATCCTATGTGTATTTATGTAGTATAAAAGTGCAATGGTCCTGTTTTCCCAAGTGTGAAGCTTTCTTCAAAATAATTTTTTGGCCTGGCTGGGGATCTTAGGAAAGAAAGAACACCGAGGAGATAACACAGGGTTAAGATTGGCCGTGAAAACCAACAGGTGTTTAGAAAGCACAAAGTCACTGATTCTAAACATAGCAGCATTTTTGGTCCATGTGATAATTTACAGCTTGTGGAACCTTAAAGAATGGTAGTTATTATTTCAGTGTAAAAGTCTTGTTTCTGCTAAATTTTATAAAATTTTATCAAAATAGATACCATGTACTATAAGTTTGTTACCATTCCCACTCTCCCTGACATATCAAACTCCTATAATACTCTGCACGTAATAGAATGTAGTGAGGACTCATTGTAGTGAATTTTTATTTATATGCATGCTATTTTCCCACTCTCCTATAACTACACTCTCCCAGAGTAATCATAATTCATTTTAATTTTTCAGTGTTGAGGAGATGATAATTGTATCAATATATAATCATTTCCATTATAGTTTAAATTTTCAGGTTGCTTGTATGTTACTTATAAATGTGTTCATAGAAAAATATAGTAACAAACACATAAATTAGTACAGTTTCTATTTACTATTTCCATTATGAATTATCTGAATTATAAGCCTCTTTTTCTATTGGCTACATACCCCTCATCACATGTATAAACAATCTTTGCACCGTATTCAAACTGAGTTCCTACTGCAAGATGGAAAGAACCAAACTGAGTGTCTCCAGGGTGTCCGCAGGGCTTTTCTAAAATTAAAAGAAAAGGATGTAATGTTAGTATGTAGCACGGGGAGTAACAATTTACATGAGTTCGAGGACAGGTATATTTGATATTGTATTAGAGGACAGAATTGAAAATATGGAAAAGTGAAAAATGGCAAAGTTATCTGTACCTTTTGGAAGATGACAACACCTTGTTAAGAATAATGACGATGAAGAATTTGAAAAAGAATAGATACTTGTGTATGTATAACTGAATCACTTTGCTGTACACCTGAAACTAACACAACATTGTGAATAAACTATACTCCAATATAAAATAAAAAGTTAAAAAGAAAATAATGAGGATGTATCATTTTGTATTTAAATGACAATAGTGATAGAATTCAGCCAGCGTTTCCATAGTAGCACCCAGTATTTTCACAACTGAAAGTTTTCACAGATTTCACAAATGTAGGAACGACTTACTCTGACAGATCCTCGAACGATGAAGAGATAGCCACTTTCCATCCTTGCATACCATTACAATACTCCCAAGAGTTCTGTATCCAGGGCGGCATTTATACGTAGCCTGAGTGCCCTCTTGATATGTTTGTTCAGTCCAAGAACCTAACAGAATTTCTGTTTCTTTTCTTGGAGGGGGTTCTTGACAATCTACAAAAAAATTAAAACACAATAGGTGTTTAAACAACTATTAAAAATGCAGTATGTTTAGGTTATTTTTTATTAAAAAAAAAACTATACAGGTCCATCCAAATGTAAGTCTTTTTTTTAATTATTATTTACTAGTTTGTTATGAAAGGACACAACTCAGGAACAGCCAGGGTAGAAGAGATGCATAGGGCAAGCCTTGGGGGAAGGGGTATGGAGCTTCCTTGTCCTCTCCAGGTGTGTCACTCTCCCAGCACCTCCCTGTGTTCACCAACCTGGAAGCTTCCAAATGCCATTCTTTAGAGATTTTTATGGAGGCTTCATTACATAGACACGATTGATCAAATCACTGGGCCTTGGTGACTGACTAAACCTCCAGTTCCGCCTCCCTTCCCAGAACCCCTGAGGTTGGGGACTGGGGTAGGGTGGAGAGGGTGGGACTAAAAGTTCCAACCTTCTAATCAAGTGGTTGGTTCCTTCTGGCAACCAGCCCCCATCCTTTGGCTCTCTAGGGCCTTTCCAAAAATCACCTCATTAACATAAACTTAGGTGTGGTTGAAAGAGGCTTGTTGTGAATAACAAAAGACACTACTTTCACCTCTTATCCTCTGGAGCAATTTCAGGACTGAGAACAAAAGACCAAAAATTATCAACAAAAGATACTTCCTTTGCTCTGTATTAATTAGGAAATTATAAGAGTTTTGGAGCTGTGTGCCAGGAACCATGGATTAAGGCCAAAATGTATATTTCTTATTATTAATCATAATATCACTGTTAGTCTTCATTTCTCTGCAAATGTAAGTCTTAATAGATTAATCATAATATCACTGTTAGTCTTCATTTCTCTGCAAATGTAAGTCTTAATATATATAAGATATATATTTTACTGTACAGAAATTAAATCTACATAGATTTGTAAGAATAACTTTCCAGATAAATAATTATACTTTACTATATTATTCTTAACTGCTGCACTGCATTCTCTAATACTATTCTTTCTTAAATTCAGGAAATATTGGGCACTAATATAAGCTCTGAAGGAAAAAAAATGGATAAAGAGAGAAAATATCTGCTCTCAAAGTGTTTTCACTCTAGTAAGGAGGTTAGTTATTAACTACAAATTCAAAGAGATAATGTGTCCGGGTTTCCGAAATCTTCATCAAGCTCTTGTACCGGCTGCTATACTCCTATTCTGTATTATCTCTTGAAGCTCAGTAACCTTGGAACTGGAGAGGTCAAGTGTATTGTGTAAATGTGATTGACAATCTCAAACTGAAACCCACTCTGGCAGTTTAGCAATTAGAAACCAGCGGAGGTGAAATGGAATAAAATTGAATCCTTACTTTTTTCAGAAAATTGTAGTTATGAACAGACGTATATAATAGGTATGTGTATATAGACGGTTAAAAAGTATTAAAGAAGAGCAAAAATATAATTACCATAACTATTAAGGTAATGTTTTCTTCTAGAAGAAAGGAAGGGGTATTAATCTAGAAGAAACGCAAGGGTATTTGGGGGATGCTGGGAATGCTCTACTTCTTGACATGGGTAATTATAACTATTTTTAAATACAGTACATTCATATTTTATTCACTCATATACTTCACAATAAAGATACTAAAGTAATAGAATCTGCATGCACTGTATGATTCTTTTTTTCCAAAAAAGTAATTCATTAACAAAATGACATATAAAGAAGGGAATACATAAAATTAATAATGAAGCTCATGCCTACTGATTATAATTGCTAATCTTTTTAATACTTCTTGCTGCTTAGTTTAGATACAACTACCCTTGATATTAGGGTGATTTCATTAGTTGACTTTAACACATTACTTTTAAATTGGCAAATTCAAAGATACTTCTCACCATATATATATTTGTTGATATAATTTTCATTGTTAAACTCCTTTTCTTACTTGGTTTTATAAGAATGGTTTAACATTCTATTCTAGAATTTCTTTTTGTAAAGGCAAAAGGGGAAAAAATAATCAGCGGAGCTGGATCCCATCACAAACACATTCTACATAGAACAGAAACTCCATATGAAACTTCATTTTTGTGTAATAAATAACACTTGTGTGGGCTTTCATATGCACTCATTTTTCTTTAACTTTTTTTGCAAATGTTTAGCACATTCGTTAGGAAACTTTGTAATCCATGATTCCACATTAGTTTTGATTTCTAAAATTTAAGTAAACATACTTTTACTCCACTAGATGGTGCTAACACCCTACCATAAAACAACACAAACCGCCTGCGCCTCTTCCTACCAGCAACCCTCTTTCCCCAAAAAAGCCCGAGTTTTTGGTTTTGTTTTTTCAACTTAAGGATCATGTTTTTACATGGAAATTTTGTGTTTAACTACAGGATAATATGTGTGTTTTCCACTTTCTAAATTCAGATCCACTTCAAGGCATTTAGGTTACCGGAAAAATTAATTAGTTAAATTTCAAATGTAGAGGCCAACACTGTGAGTGGAGTTGAACCACTTTTCACTAATATATTAACATTTTGATAAATTTAATTCCTATCCTTTTATTAAGCTCATGCAATTAAAAAGGTAATAAAATTTTCTTATCAATTACCTTATTCAATTTAAATGATTTTTATTAAGGCAATGCATTTACCCAAAGAGTAATCATGTGTGTTACTTGCTTTTAACACCCAGACATAAAAGACACGGATACACCTCTCTTTCATACCGTCTTTCTACCAGATTCTCACAATATTTACTCTGTGTATACATATTTACTACATATAAAGAGTTCTCACATTCATTACACTTTTTACTTCAAATGATATTTAAAACTCTGGTGCTTTTTCCACAAACTTTATTTATTTATTTATTTTGGTGTATTTTTCTTTATTTTTTTTATTGGAGTAAAATTGCTTTACAATGTTGTGTTAGCTTCTGCTGTATAATGAAGCAATGGACAAAGGATTAATCTCGAAATATACAAACAGCTCATGGAGCTTTCAGCCACTTCCTCCAAGTGGTCCACTTACCTCTAGGCAAGGTAGGCAAGACACCCCACTACCCCATCTCTGTTATTTCCCCTCAGCCCCTACTTTACTTCCTTCACAACATAATTCATGGTTCATAGTTATGTTTATGTATCTATCCTCGCATCAGAATGTAACTTCCCCAAGAATAAGGACGGTCACCACAATCCTTCAAAACCTACCCATGACGTCATCACAACCCTGATATATTTCTCTCTCTTCATTGCACCTCTTACAAACCAACTTCTCAGCACCACTCTACTCCATCCTTTCATTCCAATTTGAGCATCTTGCCTTCCCTAAGTGATCCTACAGTGTTTTCAGTTACCTCCATCAAAATACTTTATATGATAAAATACAATAATCGTCCCTTCTGTTTTGCCTCCTAAGTGACCTCCTGTCGGAAAGTGCTTGTCACGGTGCCTGGCACTTAGCAGTCACTCGAAAAAAGATGATCATTGAATGAGCAAATAAATAGATGAATGAATGGATGAGTGACTGTGAAGCTATCCCGAAGACTTTCAATTTTATCTGTGGATTATGGATAACCTGGGAAAAGGCATTGTAGACGGTAACAAACATAAAAGATAAGATAAGGGAACAAATGTTTAGTGCACTTAAACCTCTGTTGCATGAACCTAAGAAATCTAACATCTGTAAAATCCCATTCTACATCCTGTCTATGTGTCCTATGTTTGAATGTATGTTATACTTTTTGAAGTCAGGAATCATTTTAATTTAGCTCAAAAAACTTCGGGGAACCTTTGAAGGAGCATTTCTATCATCACTTTTTATCTATTACAGTTCTGGTTAACAAGGGTTAGGAGAAACTTGGCTCTCTCCGTCGAAATGTCAAAACAAATAAAAGTGCTCTGTCACATCTTTTTCTTTCCCTTTCTTTTTATTAGTTTTGTGATTTTTTTCTCTGTCCCATTACTTTACTCTCTCTGAACCATTTTTTATAGTGTTTCCTTATAACCTTAAGCTAGATCGTAACACTTTAGTTTTTCAGGGGCATCGCGTCCATTTTGCGCACTGTGTTCTGAGACTGGTTAAAGCTGTTAAGAAGTGGGTAAAGTGCACATTAGTTATGTGAGCACGGGGTAGGCCGGTTGGCAGACTCTCACAGGCAGGCAGGTGGGGATGGTGTGTGGGGTGAGGAGAAGGAAACAGAGCCGGGAAGAAGGAAACATGGCCAAGGCTGTGGAACCGTCAGGGATGGAGGGGATAAACAAGTGGGCCAACTCAGACCGAGGCTCCAGCCCTAGCAACCAGAGGCCCAAAATAAAGAATGCTCCCTAAACTGTGCTTCCACGTATATTTGAAAACTTACTTCTAGCTAAGAATACTGTTATCAATGCTTAAATAATTTAGTTCTAATTTGAAATTACATGCAGGCAGAAGAGTAGCATGTGCATTCTCAGGCTGTGCCTAAACTTAAAGTCAGCAAGGCTCTCGCTCTCGTGACATTCCTGGGGGTGTTTCCTCTACCCCTGGTCAAAGCACCCACGAGACTGCTTCCCCTATCATATCTTCCTTCCTGAGAAAATCTCATCTTCCAGGATTGCTGGGTCCTGTTCTTACCTCATCTTCATTCATTTCTACCTCTGCCCATTAAAATTGTTGCAGAAAACTTATCAGACAGAAAACTTACTGTGAGTAATAATTCACATAATGGTGGTGCATAATACTAAATTTAACTGTCCCAACTCTTACTCAGAGTATTGTCACTCCACATAAGTTTCAGACTGGTTGAATTTATGGTATTATTAATATGTAAAACATTTTAGGAGAAGGGAAGATGTTGAAGACAATTGGGCCATTACTCCACCTTAGATCCCACCGTATAGGTAAATACCCACACTACTACCTCTGAAAATGTGGGATTTTTTTGGAGACGGGGAATTCTTATTTATCACACTGGAACTGAAACATAGAATTTAGGATTATAAACCGCTATCACAAGTTTTCTGGATTAGATGAATATACATAATATTCACATCTATCCTTAAAAAAGAGTAATTTTTGTGAATTTATAATTGTCTTATGATCATAATATTGATATTTTTGTGTTAATTCAAATTCAAAACCATCTTGTACTCGGAACAATATAGTAAAAAGAAATAAATTCTCCTCTCTCTGTTGGAATAGAAGCTTTCTGATATGTAACATATTTCAGGTCCTGAAATAATATTTTTGCCCTTTAAACCTCCAGAATTAGAAAACACATCTCTCCAAACAACATAGCCAGCATGCACTTGGACATATTTCAGTTGTGTTTTGATTTATTTACTTTAATCAGCCTGGAATTTTGGGGCTGTGGCTAATTTCAAAGAGTATACGCTTTTTGGATCTTAAATCTAAAAGTTCTTGAAAAGCTTGGTCACAAGATATTCCAGAAAGCAGAAACGATGTGGTATAACTGAGGAACGGTTACTCTGAACTCTGTAAATCTGACCCGGCTCTTAGTAGCCTGGGGTGAACTCCCCCGAAGCAGCTGACGTTCCTGTACAGCTAGGGATGAAGATGCAGACTACCTATTGCGTTAAAAAGGTACTGCTTGTCTCCAATATCCTTTTCTAAAAAGGGGGAAAAATAGAAAGTTGAGCTTATAAATTCTTTCTGTTGGTTACTACTCCTCTTTAGTAGTGATTAGTATTTTTGAGGCATGTTCACTCTTAACAGGATGGAGACCACTTAGGAAAGGCTGAAATGCAGTATCTAGTTGAGTAAAGCAGATCGTGAGAGTATACACAACTGTCTTTTCTCACTTTCTCAACTTAGCATTCAGTATTCAGTTTAGTATGTCTCAGTTTCTCAATTTGTATTCCGTCATCATTTCTACATGGGAGACAAAAACAGAGGCAAACGTTGAAGTATATATGGATATTTTTAATGATCAAGGCCACTCTGTTGAGTAAAACTTCTGTTAGGGCTAGACTGACGGAATTGGTTGTGCGTTGTGTGTGCTTTTGTGAAAGCCATGAGGCTAATGTGTTACTTTAAATACCAAAGCTGTACTTTATCTGGGAAGTGGCCAGATTTACAGCCACTCTCACTGTAATGCGTGTAGTGCTAAAGCTCAATTCACCAGCAGAAACTGCTGTCACATTCCAACATACGTCCATGAAATATAAAATACAAGTGAAATGAATCAGCTGGAATCAATTAGGGACGCAGGGAGTTTTAAAATCACTATTATTTAATTTTTATCACTTACACTTTGTAGCCCCCAATTTTAAGAATATTTCAAATTCCACTTTGTCATCACTGAAACAGTTTCATTAAATTTAGCATTGATTCTTAGCTTTAAACATGAGCTAGAAACCAAACAAGTCTTCCGTACATGACAAATGCAATCTACATAAAAGCTCAGCAAACAATATGTAAATCGTGAAGCACTAAGAGTATTCCTATTAAAGAAAAGACAAAAACACTTGTGTAAAGAAAAAGATGTTTGCTATTGGTAACATTAACATTGTTCCAGAACTCTTTGCCAATATAATCATATTTTGGTATATTGTGTTGTAATATTAGTTATTATTAGTTGTAATATTTTTATGGACAGGGAAATGATTGTATACCTAGTTTAAAAAGTGGCTGGATATAAGGTTTACAAGCTAAAAATCAAGCAATAGCATATTAGTGTGTATAACTGAGAAAAATATCTTTCAAAAACTCTTAAACACATTTGAGAAAAACCTGAAAAAAATTACTAAAGGATACAACTTAAAAAAGACATCTGGCTTTATTTTCTAGATTGAAAGACCCTCAAGGACAGGGGTTTTGTTTTATTTGCTAATATTCCTCACTGCCTAGAGGTTGGCTTGAAATAAGCATTCAATCGAAATTTGTTGACCTAGTGAAGAATGTTGGGAATTTATGAATGATAACTTTAAAAAACGTCAGTCAAACATGTATCACATAATTGGTTACCTATCATGAACTAGGAAACCAAATTTGCTCCAAGAAGAAACTTTTTCATCTATCAAGGAAAAGTGATAGAAGTAAATTTAATTATCCATAAATTCTTACTGGTATCAGCAAAAAACTCCTGCACTCAGATTCACTACTCCTAAAGGCTTTCCTACTAGCATATCTTATATCAACCATAGGGGAAGAAAATCCTATTGAGTAACTTTTACAAAGGTTGCATATTCAATTTTTTTTCAAATTTATACATTTTCATTCAAACGATACAAGTGATGGTTGTCTCCAAGACTTTTAAAGCCATGGCAATAACAATTGTAAATGATAAATCCATTTTTCTTTAGCAAGAGTTAACATCTCTATCTGAAATAAGTCCAGTCATTGCAGCTTGAAGGCTTTTATTGTCTAATTCATTTTCTTGTTCTATGTTCACCTACTTCTTAATACATTCACATAGGCATTTTGGTGAAAATTCTAGGCAAAAAAATTAAATTACATTTTATGATAATCACAAGGGAAATGATCATGACATGTCACGTTTTTTGAAAATAATTATTAAAACATTTTCTGAACTTCTACATTAAATAAAATTATGATGAATAATTAGATATGCCATTCAAATAAGCTGCTTATATTTTTTAAACTGAACAGTGTCAAAAGCGTCTCACACACTAGGCTACAGCACAGTAATTAAACACATTTTCTAGACCAAATTTTTATTACCACCGTAAAAAGCACGTAAGCAAATGTTTTGCAATATAGAAAAAAAAAAGCCTTCCTTTTTTAATCTTACCTTTTGCGACACAAACAGTCCATAACATAAGGCACACAGTTGTTGCTGGAAATCTCATTTTGGGGACCCTTCAGGGGCACATCTAGTAGTTGACAGTGCTTAACACTGTGTCAGGTTCTCCTCTATTAAAAACTATGGAAAGTGCAGAAAACTACTTGCTCCAAAAGGAAGTCGTAACCCAGCTTGGGAATTAAAGCCATTGCTAGATGTCCCGCCCATCAGGAACTTTTACAAAGTGAAAGAAAACAATCAGCCAGGAGCCCCAGGAGTGCCAGAGTTTGAACCTGCACACTCCCACTGAAAGCTAATGCCGTGACCTGCCCTTGCTTTGTTTTTATAAAACCCAGGCATGTTCTTCACTGGAAACGTTCAGGTTCTTGGAATGTGCATAACTGGTGATATTCTCTGCATTTCATAAACCCTCCAATTATTTAGACCCCATTCAGATCTACCGTTGGTAGACCTCAGAAGATTAAAATTAAGTAAATAAATAAATCAAAGCTCTTTCAGAAATCATTTACAGAACTTGAGGTTAGGCAATGCTTTCACAATCAAGACCCAGACAACAGAACTAAACTTTGCCAGAAATGCAGTGCTGGTTGGTTTGGGGGGCCTGCTTTGCCTGCAGTTCATGAAATTAGTCTTTTAAGGACTTGTTATAAATGTGTGCATAAAGCAACAGGCTCACTCTCCTTAGGTATGAATGAGTTTAATAATTCAAAAATCAAGAAATTGAAATGCTGAATTTTTTAAACTTTGTACTGAAATATAATATGCGTAAAGAGAATGTAAGCAAATGGTTTGCTGAATACAGAGAAAGTGAAGACACGTGCTAAGAGCACCGAGGTGAAGAACAGCAGTCTCTCAGGAAAGGCCCAGCCTCCACTTCAGTCCCCCCCTCCCCCCTCCCCCATGACACACTCTCCTGATCTCTGTGAACAGGGGACAGATTTGCCTGGTTTTGTACTTTGAATACATCAGATAATAAGACATTTATTCTTTTGTGCTTGGAGCCTTCCACTAAAAACTATGTTTAGATTATTCCAGCACACTGTTGGGTGTTGCTGTAGATTATTAACCCTTATTGCTGTTTGATATTCAACTCTTCGAATATGCCACATTTTATTTATCTGTGTGTCTGTCAGTGGGCATCTGGGTAGCTTCTAGTTCGGAGACAATGCACATAGTTCTGCTGTGAACATCAAATTATGAGGTTTTGGAGAAACACGTGTTCTCATTTCTGATGAGTACATACCTAGGAGTGGAATATTAGGACATAATGTATGAATATCTCTAAGTGTGATAGGGACCATCAGACACTTTTCCAAAAGGTCTATATCAATTGACATTCCCATTAGCAAGTGTGTAAGTTACTCCACACACTCAACACACTGATGTTTTCCATCTTTGTAGTTTTAGACATTCTGGTGAGCACGGAGCAGTAATCCTCTGAGGTTTTAATATGCATTTACCGATAAGGAATGAACTTGAGTGACTTTCATGCCACAATCGGTCATTTAGCTGAGCCGCAGGCCATTTAAGCAACTTCCTCAAAGTCAAAAGACATTGTGCTACAACCACAATGGAACCCAGCGATCCAATTCCCTGAATCTTACTTTTAACCCATACAGATCTGCCTTTCAAATGATTTGCTTCCCATGCTATTAAATGCATATAAATTAAATTGTCAATAACTCCTTTATATAATTTAAAATGCTATAAATATTTGCAAATGTATTTTAGTAAATACCTTCACATTTACGTGTTTATTTTATAATTATGTAAACATATTACCGTACAAGTTTTTAATGTATGTACACAAACATATATGTTTACGGACAATTTAAAGTATTTTCAGGAGTGATTTTACTTTACAGATTTTCATTTTATTTGCAGTTGTTGAACATTTAAGATGCCACTCCACTGTTCAAGTGAAAATAATGGCTTCAAATTAATTTCAACAATATCTTTTAGATGTGTTATTTTTACTGTTTTTTCTCTTCTATTTGATTTCAAAGACTGATGGCTAAGTCATCAGTTGAGTGCTTTTGTTTCCTTTTTATTTTCATCAAGATTTTTAAAACCAAGTATTTATTTCAAAGATATTTAGAAGAACATAAGAAAATTACCAACATGTTATTATTTCATAACACAAAGTTGTTATATGGTACAGTGAGTCCCCTAACACGTTCCATTCTGAGAGCGCATTTGTAAGTCCAATTTGTTGATAAGTCCAACAAAGTTATTCTAGGTACCCAACACAATCAGCTATATAGTACTGTACTGTACTGTAATAGGTTTACAATACTTTTCACACAAATAATACATAAAAGACAAACACAAAAATAAAGAAAACATTTTTAATCTTACAGTACAGTACCTTGAAAAGTATAGTAGTGCAGTACAACAGCTGGCATACAGCGGCACGTTCGCATCTTTGAAAGTTCGCAACTTGAAGGTTCCTATGTAGGGGACTTAACCATATTAGATTACCATTAGCAAGAACAGACTGCAAATAGTTAACCGTTGGTACTAAATTTAAGCCCCAAACACTTGTATTTATTCTCAATATCCATGTTGCCACATTCTCAACAAATGTGTTCTATGTATTTGTAGGGCAAAAAGTTAGGAAAAATTTATAAGACTTAAGAGACTTTAAAAATTCTCCTATTTTAAAATTATAAGTAATATCCGTACTAAGTAACAAATGACTATTATGGTCAATATGTACCACAGGAAGTTGAAGGAAAGAGAAATTTCTTCCAAAGACTTAATTTGGGAGGGTCTCAAGAATATTTAGTTATTAAATTCTAATTTAGGGGAAGAGGACAAAGACTCTGAGGACAAAGACTCTGAGGTATGGAAAAGTGTAGAGAGTGTTCTAGAATTAATGAGAATATCGACAGCAGAGCAGTGGTTTTGCACAAGGAAGCTGTGGAAGAAGTAAGAGGGGCTTTGAATGAGGAAAGGTTTGAATTCCAGATAAAACATTTGTAAATTATTTTATAAGCAATATGTAATCATTGATAGATCTAATTAAGGAAAAGGAATGTAGGAAATGCAGTTTAAGTAGCATTGCTTTGGCCGTAGTGTTAGGATGGATGGAGAGAAAAGGACGTAGGAGAACAAATTAAGCAGATAACTCGATGAATTCAACATGCAACAATTATACAGAAGCTCAATGGATGGAAAAAGGGAAAAACTGATGAAAACAGTTAAGAGTTTGATTTCCTTTGAGTCTGGTGGAGTTTATACTTCAGGGCTTCTCGTTTGAACAGACACCATCAAGGACCTGAGAGGGACCCTAGTGATGTTGTTTCGAGGTCGTATATTTTTGTAAAAATTGGAAAGATGTCTTAATTGCAAGAGAATAAACTACTGTCTTTTTCTACTCTAACTTCCCCCTTCATCATATTTCCACTGAGTTAGTTGGCATTACAGGCTTTGGAGGACTCAACCAAGAAGTCAAGGAGAGAATACATGTAGTTGGAGATGAGTGAGGTATATTCTGCATTCACAGTTGTATATAATTTGGTAATTGTTGTCTCACGTCTTCCTCTTTTGAGTATATATCAATGTCAGCCTATAGAGAATGTTGCCTTCTTTTTCATACGACCATTTTGAGAGCACCACTACTATTGCAAATACAAATTAGAGTTGCAAAAAATAGGAAAAGAAATTGTGAAGAGTTCATTATCCTTTCTCTAATTAATTTAAACCAGGAACATCTTGTCATTTTCTATCACTGTTCCTGATCTGAGGTTAACTTTTCCTCCCCTTACCTACTCAGGTGTATAATGATCTCCTTTAGGAAAGAGCTTAAAACATCCTGACACATTTCCTTGTCATCTTTCCTCCTTGATATCCTGAAAAACAATCTACAAGTTGCACTATACAAGCATGGCCTTAGATAAAGATCATCCTTCAGATTTATTTTAGAATATCTCCTCACTTGCATGGAGAAGCCCTAAACATTCCAGATTTCCCTTTCCCACTCCTTAGGAGGCTAGTACCTTTACTTCTTCCTATGGGGACACTGCCAGCATAATCCAATTTAATAATTTGCATAGAAGTGAAAAACAGTGACTCTGGATTTGTTTGATTCTAGCTGTAAGGAAGTGAAAACACACATGGCCTCAATTCCTAATTATTGCATTTATTTTATTAGGTGAATTTCTAAAACTAGATTGCAAGCTCTTCCAAATATTTCAACCCTTTAGAGGAGAAAGAAAAAACAAGTTGCTGTCTCCTTGGCAACTTATTCAAGCATATGGAGCACGTGCAGAAAGCTCTAAAAGCCTTCAGAGAAAACTGGTTGTCCCTTCCCTAATGTCCTTTTTCCAGGCATTCACCATAGGGTACAACACACAACGTAGCTGCACATTTATGAGCCTTTTCTAGAAATGTGTGAGCAAAGTCACTTGATTGCCCCTGCACTAACACTGCTTCAACCTTCCAGACACTATTAATCTGTTAATAATTAATAATGATTAATTTTTGTGTGTCAGGTACTGCATTAAAGGTATTACGTACTTTAACTCCCTCAGAAATCTTACGAGATAGTTCTATCATTCACTTTTTACACATAGGGAGGATGAATTTCAGAGAGGGTTAAGCAACTTATTTAATTATATTAGAACCCAAACTGTCTGGTCCCACAGTTGAATATTTAAACACTAGACTCACCACCTTTTTGACTCCAAGTGTGTATTATTCCAGAAACTTCATCATCAATTTTTCCTCTGGACAGAGGAAACTCTTAGAATCGTCTGTTTCCAGTCTCTAATGAGGACTCATAGAGATTCAATGCAGTATTTTGTATAATGATATTAAGCTGCATTTTGGTAGACTGTAATTTTATTGCAAGTTATCCTAAAAATATCTAATAAGTTATGTACTTCAAGATGGAAATAATCATTTCTTGGGGAAAATAAAGTGAGTCTTGCCTGTGATGTGTAGTTGACATAAATTATTTTTGGATTGACCAGTTAAAAATTTTTGCAGTAGTGGCTTATGATCACGTAATTATTTTTTTCACCTGTCATACATTTCCCAGCT